GAAGTGGTGAAAGGTCGAAGACCCTGAAAACCACCTGTTTAGGAAGGCTGCATCCTGAAGTGGTGAAGGGTGTCCTGAAGTGGTCAAGTGAGAGTTTTGGGCAGTCTGAAAATCCTGAATGGTCCTGAAGTGGTGAAAGGTCCGAAGACCATGAAAACCACCCTTCACCACTTCAGGATGCAGCCTGCCTAAACATGTGGTTTTCAGGGTCTTCGGAGCTTTCACCACTTCAGGACCATTCAAGATTTTCAGACCCGAATGGTCCTGAAGTGATGAAAGGTCCGAAGACCCTGAAAACGACCTGTGTTAGGAAGGCTGCATCCTGAAGTGGTGAAGGGTGTCTTGAAGTGGTCAAGTGAAACTTTTGGGCAGTATGAAAATCCCGAATAGTCCTGAAGTGGTGAAAGGTCCAAAGACCATGAAAAACCACCCTTCACCACTTCAGGATGCAGCCTGCCTAAACAGGTGGTTTTCTTCGAAGCTTTCACCACTTCGGAACCATTCAGGATTTTCAGACCTGAATGAACTGGTGAAAGGTTCGAAGACCCTGAAAACCACTTGTTTAGGCAGGCTGCATCCTAAAGTGGTGAAGAGTGTCCTGAAGTGGTGAAAGGTCCGAAGACCTTGAAAACCACCTGTTTAGGCAGGCTGCATCCTGAAGTGGTGAAGGGTGTCCCGAAGTGGTGATGAAAAATACGACTATTGTTAACCTTCTCTCACTTCGCTTAGTCAGCAGTACCCAGTCCCAGTCTCACTTTGTACAGTTAGCAAGTACCATGAGGGACTGTGTGCACCAGGGGCCCGATGGAAAAGGGCAGACCAGCGACTTACAAAAGTATAAATCAAGAGGCAGCGCCCAGCCATTCATTCATTCCTGCGTGAGCCATGCAGAAGCGCTGCCCAGGCGACTTGTGCGAGGTGGTCTGCAGATGCCCGAAGTCGAAGTTGGTTGAAGGAAGGAGATAGCGTCCAGTGTTAGTAGTAGCGAGCGACCATAGCCGCCTTAGGTTAGAGACGGTGTTTCGGGGTGTAAGTGAGAGTGAGTGAGGTACAGTGTGAGTGCATGTGGGATATCCACGGAGGTCCAAAGTTGAGTGTGTGTAAACAGTGGATGTAAACCTTGAGTGGACACGTGAAGTGAAGGCGTGCAATCGCCATAGCCATCTTGAACCGAGTTTGTATCTGAGTTGTGTGGGCGCCCAGCGCCAGTGTGCTTCACCATCTGTTTGCATGCATGTTGTATGAAGAAGAAAGCGAGTCTGATTGCAGTTGTCCAGAGCAGCATCTGGTTAGGCTGTTCAAGAAAAAGGGTAGAGAAGAGGCAAGACGATAAATCGCTTGCGCAAGCCCATTTGTGGCTTCTTTGCATCCCTTTCTGTTTTTTCTTTTTTTTTTACTAGCAAAAACAGGTCCTTATGGTCCTGCCTCCATATCCATTCTGGGGAGCATCAGTCCAGTTCCTTTTTTCTTTCTTTAAAAAATTTGGACCATTTCTCGATTTCTGTGTGTCATCCTTGCGCAGGGGCCATGCTAATCTTCTCTGTATCGTTCCAATCTTAACGGATGTCCCGAAGGACAGCATCAGTCCAGTTCCTACTCCACCGGCAAGTCAAAAATACAGAAGTACAACCATGAATCCACACATGCCCCCTTCTGTCTGGCCGAAGGGTCCCTGAACAACATTGATTACTGCACTAAACTGGAGGATTGACTGTCAGCTTACCTTCCCTGAGTCCCCTCTAGGATCCATTTGTAAGAATCTGTCAGTAAAACGATAATGCAAGGAAGACAGAAAGTAGCGCTGATATAACCCTGGAGCATCTCATGTGGCTCTGAAGTTTTGCTGTTCGGTCTGGTATGAATTCCTTGTTTCGTGGGCAGCAGCCGAGTTGTGCCAATCTTGCCACCTGATTTGTAGCTCATGAATCTCAGCTATCTTTCTGTTGGCCAACCAGATTCTCTTGAACTTTGACACCAGTCCTTGCTGCTTCTCCAGGTCCTGCTGAATCAGAAGTTTAACTTTCTTCCATTGGCATCGAATCTCAGTCTCCATCATAAGTCTCGTCGTTGCCCATATCTGCTCGCTCGGATTACTGCACTCGCCGATGGTCCTGCTGCACCTCTCCTTCCAGATAACCCAAAGTGTCACATTTCTTACTATCCCGAACCAGATACGTTCAGATTTGTTAAATTGAGTAGGTATGTTAGTCCATATGAGCAATCGGGTCGGGTGTTCAGGGAGGGAGGAGGGAAAAAGGTGGTCCCTGAGTACTGAAGCTCTCGCCCATAAGTCAGTAGCAACTTTGCAGGTTATCAGACAGTGGAGCAGGACCTCCTGCTCATTGTCTGAGCCGACCAGACATTGTTCTGAGCTGTTTGGGTCGCTATTCTTTCCTCGGACGTGCAGCCACGAGTTCACTGAAAGGGCATTGTATGTGATCAGCCATTGAAGGCTTCTTATTTTGACTGGGCATATTGATTTGTACTTCTGCCAGGGCAACTCGGAGATTGGTTCCATTCTCTGGCCTAGTAGTTTGGTCCATCTTTCTTTAATTACTGGCTTGGGGTCCTTAGTTTTCAACAGCATCCTGTAACCCATTTTTACTGTATACTGAGTTATGCGCCTGGGGGTCTTGCAGATTCTGTTACTGCCCAAGCTCCAGGCCATTCATCTGGGTCGATTCTAGATCTTGAATTGTTGTCTGCTTGGAATATAGTCCTTGGCCAGATACCCAGTACCCTTATTTTTCGAAGCGTATGAGTCCAGGGTCTCATCTTGTGGATCAATGTTGTGGATGGTCAGGCATTCGGGGTTGGGTCGATCAATTAGGAAGGAGGTAAAACCAGAAGATCTGCGGTAAAATTGGTAGGCTCTTTGAGGTATCGTTTCCTGGTTCAGTACTCCCCACTCCCCTGGTTTCCACGAGAAGTCTTCTTTTAATAGGTCTTTCATCCAACCGGAATGATGTTGATTACTGTTGACAGATTTTCGTTGCGGCGATGGCATCCCTTTAGGAGTAGTCTCAGCTATCCCTCTCCTATCCAGTTTTTTCCCTCTTCATCCCATTAATAAGACTAACCTGCCAGATCCCGTGTCTGATCCAAGAGAGCCATCGCTGCCCGTTTGCAAGTGAAAGATCTCGTGTCCCTTACACATGGGTTCCCGAGCAGGTGCTGGCGCATGACTTCCTCTTTGGACTCAGTTTTTTTTACTTTTTTAGCAGAATTCCTCTCAATATGTGAATGAGAGCTGACCAATAGGGGCCTGCGGGTCGCAACTCGTTTGGTGACGGGTTTGTGGGCCATCTCCTCCTGCCCGTCTTCGGCGAGCATTCTTTGTTCATCACCCAAAACAGGCCAGCCATGTTAATTGGGCTCTAGATGGGGGCTATAGCTCTGATGCTATCAAGGGCTAGCTTGTGCCATGGCAGTCTAGGCTGACTTAGTAGCTTGACTATCCACTTGATCTAGAGAACTTTGGTCTCATGCTTGGGATCGATTATTCCCAGTCCCCCTTTAGATGGCTTTCTCGTTATGTAATGCCAGATAATCTTAGGGATATATTTCGTTTTGTTCGGGTCGCCTGGCCATAGGTAAGCTCTGGCTCTACTGTTCAGCTCTTTAATAGTTTGGCCGGGTATAGTCCAGATAGACGCAATGTGCCACAACGTTGAAAAGATGGAAGTATTGATGGCTAAGGCTGTCCCCAGTAAGGAGGTGAATGTGGTACCCCATCTTCCCATTCTATTGATTTGCTTACTCATCAAGTTTTGAGCCATTTGCCAGGTGGGACCGTCCTTGGTTACCATAATTCCCAAGTATATCGTTGTCTCTTCTGGTTTCTCCCATGTCATTTCTACCACAGGTCCCTCCATTTGGGGTGTCTCCTCCTCTGAGAGCCACCACCCTATCGTCTTTTTCCAGTTAATCTTCATTTTTGAGGCCAGCCTGAAAGCTTCCATTGCCCTGACTATTGCTTTTACCAAGGATTCAGATGCCCTTATGAGGACTGTGAGATCGTCGGCAAACATTATCACTGTTGGGAATTGGATCTGATGAGGTGTGCCGGTATTGACGTCTGACAGCCTCTCAATCGAGGGGTCCTTACGTAAGAAGAAGGGAATGGCTTCCATGATGAAAAGGAAGATCTGTGGGGCTAGAGGGTCTCCTTGGCGGACTGACCGGGAGATCGAGTAGCGTTCCGAGATAAGTCCATTGACTTGCACACATCCGGCAGCGTCGTTGTATAAAATCCTGACCCATTTTCTGAACTTAGGTCCCACCCCCATTTTTTCCATACTCACATTGAGAAAGGCCCAATTAACTTGGTCGTAGGCTTTCTCAAAATCGAAAAATAGGGTAGCTGTATTCATCCTCTTTTCTTTGACTTTCCTTGCTGCCTCATTTGAAGTTAAGACATTGTCAAATATATATCTGCCTGGGGTGAAACCAGCTTGGTCTATGTGGAAGCATTTATCTGTGAGGTCCAGAAGTCTGAAAGCTAAAGCCTTTGCCAGGATTTTGTATGGGAGGGTGAGCAGGGAGATTGGCCTATAATTCAGAATGGCCTCCCGGTCCCCCTTCTTGTACAGTAAGGTCACAACGCTGCTGCTCAGCAGTTCTCCCATACCCCCTTTTTCCCAGCTGCCTCTGTAAAAATGAAGCAGGTCATTGCCCATCACAGGCCAGAAAGTCTCCCAGAATTCCTTTGTAAGCCCATTGATCCGTGGGGATTTATCGTTTTTCATGCTATGAATATGTGAAGGAGATGAGCGAATTGGCCAAGTGTGAAGCTTATTTTGGCAATTGCAGATCTGCAGTTGTTCTCTAACACAGCGGCACTGTCAATTTGGAAATTGGAATTATTTGCTGATGTGCAGCAGCTCAATCTTGGCACCATTGATTTGGAACTTATCTTGATGTGCAGCATACCAGTCTAACTGCCTTTTCTAGGGAGTATACTCTGCTAAAGCATTGGATATGCCACTGTGCACTTGCAGGTCTCTATGTTTATACAAGAAGGGATACAGGCCCAAGACGGGTCGTTCATCATGCGTCTGCCTTCACCAGCCCCTCGAGAGGATCTGGAATCAGCTGGAATGGTCAGGTGAGAACTGCAATGAGGTTCATGTACCTTCACCCAGCCCTACAGTCTTTACCTCGTCATGCAGTTTATCACTAGGGACACTAGCGCTAATGCATTTATACTTCGCCTTATTTGCTCTAGTGCATCTTAAATTTATACTTTGACACGTTGGCCCTCCTTCCTCTACAAGATTACTTTCTGTTACGATCCTGGCCGATCGCAAAGTACACATTCATCAGAAAGTACAATGCCGTCCAATTGCAAAAGGAAATGAATGAACTTGAGAGGAGAGAGAGGGAAAGAAGAAGAAGAAGAAGAAGAAGATGAAAGAAAGATGAAGAAGAAGATGTACACCAGCAAAGACCAATGAGAATTCCCTTCTTCTTCACCAACCACTCTCCTCCTCCTTTTCTCCTCCCCTTATATTCAAACAATAAATAACAATAATAATGTTGAATGACTGAACCAGAAACACTGTCCGAATACCTCTTCTCCTCAGGCACAACAGGAGGTCCACCATAGCGATGGCCACCTTCCTTCTTCCTCTTCATGAAGGCCAAGGTTATGGCTGACTACTAGGGCCTCGCCCTGCTGTGCAGAGGACAACACAAAGCAGCTATGCTCGCTGCTGCTCAGGCCGCCATGCCTGACCCTGCCTTGAAGCCTTCTTGGTGCGGCGCAACCCCAACTGGGCCCTTACAGATGCAGCGCCTAACAAGGTGATGAAGATGGTGCCCAACATAGCCAGGTAGGTACCTCGCCACTCTCCTCCTCAGCTGTCTTCTTCCTCCTCCTCCTACCGGTAGAGCTCCACCATCGCCGAGGTGGGAGCTCCTGGTCTCCTTCCTCCTAGGAGCACTGACGTGCCCAGCACTCCTCCAGCCCGCGCTCCAAGCAGTGTGTCGCCAAACTTGCACACCGAAGAATGAGGAGGAGCACTTTGCTCCTCCTGGAGATATAGCGGCCTACTTGCGTCTTTGGCAGGTGACTTCTAGGCCACGTGGCCTCCAAGCAACCAGTACCTCCTCCCTTTCGGAGGAAAGCATCACTGCAGACTCTGATATTGCCTGTACAGGCCCTAGACTCAGACTGGTTGGACTGGTACCCGCCTAGACCTAGCCTACAACTACCGGGCCTCTAAAAATGCCAACTTTTGTCTTCTCGGCCTCGAGTACCCAGCACATCTACTTCTACTTGGTGTGGTACCGGCTTACCTGCTACCTGAGTGTTTCCCGCTGCCCTAAGTGTCGCGGCCACAGGTAAGTACCTGCCCTACGGGCCTCCAAACAAGCAAGTAACCTTGCGAGCCACACACACACTCAGGTCGACCAGCACTCAGACAGGCACACAGACCATCAAACACGCACACACACACAGACTTGAAAACTCAGCAGAATGCGGGAACCTCAGCAAGGCATCCATTCCAGCGGCAGAACTCAGGAATTAGCAGTGTTCTCAGTCTGTGTTTTGGCGGGTCATTACACTTTCCCTTGCTCCCATGCCTTTATCTGGGCTACCTTCAAGACCTTAGCCTAGTTTCCTGCACTGCCTCTTACATTCACTTCGTGGTTTCAAACATTCCTATGTTTGCTCAGTGTTCTCTGATGCCTCCATTTGGTGAATTGCCATTCAGTAAAGCATATGCAAGGAACTGAGGTCATAACCAGCACAGGAAAATCTTAGGTTCGTAGCCATTGGACATGCTAAAGTTTTGGGGTCGAAAATTGGTCCTAGAGCCTCTAGAGAGGAAAGAAAGGTCATAACCAGCACAGGAAAGTCAGGGTTGTAGCTTCTGGCCAAGCTGAAGTTCTGGGGGCAGGACAAAAGGAAGGAAAGAAAGAAAAATGCAAGGAAGATGAGCAATAGCGAACTTCAGCAATCAGACAGCATCATACACATGAAACCAGATAGTCGTGACCTCGAACCAAAAGTAGAATTGCATCACGAGTTTCACCAAATAAGCGCACACCAAAAGCTCATAATTGACAATGCTGGAATAGTCTCATCATCATCAATCGAAGAACCAATGTTGATATCCTATCTGGCACTCGGCGCCCAGACTACGAATGGCAGATCCTATCTAGCCTAGACTACAATGCCGCTGATGACGTCAACAGCTTCCCAAGTATGAGCAGACCTCGGCCAATGCCGCACGCGTCAAGCACCAGGTATGTCTCTCGTATCACTCACAACCTCGTTCCCCAACTCACAGATGCCACTTGCACCCAAGGACCACCATGCGCCCCATCCAGCATACAGCAGCGCAGCTCGGCTACGGCTGCCCGCTCCTTCCAGCTCGCCCGTGAGCGTGTGAGCCTGGCAAGCGATAGCGCAGCAGCGCTTCCGCACAAAGCAGCTAGTGCCCGAATGTCCAATGCGTGAGCGGGCCCTTCCCTATATCGAAGTGGCCTGCTGCTGCATCCTGTGTTGCGGTATTGGACCTCGGCACAGAAGCTTCCGGTAGGCCCAGGGAAGATGAGCCTCTGTCCAAACAAAACAGGCCCAGGGCCTCCGACAGTTACCCGTGCCCAACTGCTCACAGCCTGTGCTGGGTCCATCCTGCGTATCTTGCCCAGGGCCTGGAGCCAGGGCCTGGGCGCCTTCAACCAACTGGCGCTGCACAACTGCCTAAAATTCCCCAGTTGCGGGTTGACCCCAAATAGGCCTGTAGGCCTGGTCGGGCCTGCCTTCACTTAGGGCGGCCGACTATACTGAAAATGGGGCCCTGTAGGGGCGTATTGAGGCCTTGTGCCTCGCATTCCCTCCTCCATACTTCACTAGTCCTCTGAGAAGTTCAAATTCGATAATCTGGTGCTTTCCCTTCTGCAGAGACTTTTCGTATTGGCTCACAACCTGATGAGCGGTCTGCATCAATTCCTCCCTGGTAAACCATCGGTCCTCCTTTGGATCAGTGTGATGTCTGAACCAAACTCTATAGTGTAGCTTCGGTTTTGGAGGACGTCCTTTGCCTGTTGGTCTAGGAACTGGCATCTCCCTATGATCAACAATGTCGTCGATGTTGACCTCTCCATCCATGGTTGGGGGCAGCATAGAGCGACGAGAGGGAAACTGATCAGTTTCTCCGAACAGTGCAAGCTTAGAAGCGTGAAAAGCAGGGTAAGTTCGTAAGTGACCAGGGATGGAATGGATCAATTTAAGGATCCATTTGGTTTGTAGGGCCTTGGTTTGAATGATCGGGTCTAAGATCCAAATCTGCCCTGTGCTTTTTTCATTGTGATAGACTCCCAACCTCTGGTATCTCTCTGTGACAGAGTTATTTTTCTCAAGAATTGCAGTGCTATACATCCCCTTTCGTTGAAGTCCTCTTGCCTGGTGCTTTTGATGGACCAGGATTTGCTTATTATGCAGTGAACCCTGTTTGTTGAGAAGCCAAACAACATTGTCACACACATCTGAACTCAGCGTTGTCAAGCGCATCGGTCCAGCGCAGGGTAGGACCTTCCCGACCGCCTCACGCAGGAGTTGGTCTACTCACGATACAGATGGAGCTTCTGCAAGCCACCCCGACCGAGTGCGCCAGCCATACCTCTCGCGAGTCCCTAGGACAGGATAGGGCCAACGCGAGGTACAAGTACCTTCACTTGCGGGAGCTGTCACCTCCCTTTGGTGGGCGTATCCCTGTTGAGCTACCGGTCCGTTGTACGAAAGTTAATCAATTGCAATCGCAGAGGTGGACCAACCGAGGGCGTTTTCTCGTACGTTGTAGCATAGGGGGTACGCGAGGTCCCACGCCTCTATCGGACCCGCACTCGAACCGACGCACTGGGGGGCTGAAGTTCCAAGCGCAATTCGTCGTCGGTCGACTAGGACGCAACCCATTCACCACGCGCTACACCACACTTAAAAATATAAAAAAATATACACACACACAAACACGGAACGACACAAACAAACAACACAACCAATCCTAGTCCCTTCAGTAGTCATCCGATAACCTTCCAAACGCAGAAATCGGATAGGCGTCATGCGCTAGACTTTGTATAAAACCGCGCCGACGCAGGGCCTTCTCATATCGACTAGCAATGCATGAATACGCAAGCAGTCGCAATGATGGCGTACTATGTAGTACTCATACTCATGTGGTCCTCATTAATCTCGAGGACCGCATTCGACACTCAAGTGTGGGCTAGCACGCACCTTGAGGGGTTATTCTCTTGATGCTAGACAACCGTAAAGTGCGGTTGAGAACCGCACCCTCTTCTGCATCCTGCGGAGAGTGGGTGGTACACAGGTTCATACGTGTGGTGGAAATCGTCTCTTATCGCCTTAGAGACCAACTCCATCATCCAGGGCCCGGAGAGAACTCAAGGGGTTTGGCTTTCATGGCTGCCACGGACTACAACGTCCAACTATAAAACTCTTAAAAAGCAAATAAAAGGGGATCGCCCTTTTCTCTCAACGCATAATTTGTTTAACCCTTGCGCAGGGTCCCAATAGACCGCGCGAACACTCAAGGTGTACGAATGTATATATATATGTATAAAAGGTTATAAATATGTGACGATCACTTCTCACAGTCACAGTGAGACTCCTCTCAGCCATATATATGTATGTGATCGCAGGCAGTCAAATCCAAAGTCCGAACCACAAACATACATGCATTCACATCAAATTCAAGCAAAAGTCCACACACTAGACGGGGTCAACTTCAACCATTCTCTATACTCATACCCCGTGCGTTAGCCATGCAAGCCCCAACCTTTGTCCAACCTTCCAAATAAATACTTAGAACCTTTGTTAAATGACCATTCAATAAAAGTTCGGGTGAAAACCTTAAACAATTAAAACCACCAGGGTTGAAGCCTTTATGTTGGGTAACGAGAGTGGATTGGAGTTAAGTCGTAAACCGACGAATCGGCAACCGACCTGTTATCAGTGATAACAGAAGATGATCCTCGTGGGATCAAACTGAAACTAGTCCAAATCTTGAATCGAATCGATGAAGAGGATATGTACCACAAGACAGGTCAATCCCCAAGCTAATTATTAGTGTATGGGGG